ACGAATTAAAGGGAGTACGTACAAATACTCTTTATTGTAGACTTTCATTCAAATAGAAGCTTTGATGTAGGATGGGTACGTATGGAACTTTTACGAATCTACTCGAAAGATATATCCTCCACCCCATGGAACCTTGAACCTCGTTCAAAATTCAAACAGTCTATGCGCAGTTGTAACACAACTTACGATCTAGTATTGCTGAATTTCGAGCATGCCACATTCAAAGGAAGTAAAGTTACGAGAAAAGTTGCCAATTTAGTTTCCGAACAACAACTTGCTATTTCCTCTCAAACCATAAACGAAATTGAGTATTGCTCTATCCATTTCGCGCCCAGACATTTCGGCAGATTGCCTTCGTCAGAGCCTGTAAGAGAATCTGCAGTCGATTTGAATAAGTATCTCTATAGTGAAACAGACGAAGTGCCAGAATGTTTTCGATACTAATCCAATGCACGGTAGAGCACGTGTTTTCTGGAGTGCCGATAATCTTTTTTAGGCATCGGGCAGAGTTCACACGATTTGATCGCGATTCAATCGCTACGAGACAGGCGTTATGAGTTCATTTCATGCTGATCTTTTTGTACTTCGGTTGTGACAGTCAGTGTTAAGTTGTGTTGGGAAACTATCAAAACCGAAATACAAGAAGATCGGCATGCAAATGAATTCGTAACACTTTCTTGTAGCGATTAAATCGCGACGATCAAATCGCGTGAACTCTGTCCGAGGCCTCACGAGTTCATTGCATGCCGATTTTCTTGCATTTCGGTTGTGATAATTAGTTTAGTCACGATTAGTTGTGTTGGAAAACTGTCGCAACCGAAATGCAAGAAGATTGGTATTAGAGAAAAGCTGGGTTTACTTATGTATACAGACCCTGTGTGTACACATGCTACTTATGAATAGCATGTTTATACCGGGATATATACATATACAGGGTGTCCCAAAAAATGTATCGAACGTTTGATCATTAATAGCTCTCTTCCCAAGAAGTCTATTGCCTCGTTTCAAGTACCGTTTTGTAGAGCTGGCTTCAACTTAGATTTGCATTATAGAACGAATCACCCATGTCTCTTCATTACTGTAGGATTACGGTAGAAACCTGAAACATATGGTGTCAATGTGGAAAAAGCTGCCGTTTCAAAATTTTTCAAAAAAAAATGTGAAAACTTGTATATAAGGTTTTTTTATGGACGCTGAGTTCAAAACTCAATTATTCATAAGAATGCGAAGCTTTCTAAACGGTGTAACCGCACTTTTGAGGATCATTGAAAAAAAGGCCGCTACCTCTTGCCCGGCATAACTCTTCAATGAAGCATCATAAAAAGTTGGGAACTTTACAGTTAGAATCAACAGCTCTAACTGGCCTAGTGTAAAAGTTTTCAGGCTGTTTTGTTTCCTTTCTAAGGCGAAATATGGCCCTTCACGGCCCTCTAAAATCCTCTTTGAAGTTTCTATCGTAATCCTCCAGTAATGACGAGAAATGAGTGATTCGTTCTATAATGCAAATCTAAGTTGAAGCCAGCTCTACAAAACGGTACCTAAAGCAAGGCAAAAAACTTTTTTAGAAGAGAGATATTGATCAAACGTTCGATACATTTTTTGGGACACCCTGTAAATCAGTGGCGTATCCAGGATTCCGGCTCGGGGGGGGGGGCATAATCCCAAAATTTTAGAAAAAGGGGGCGTGGCGTCAGCCGCGCCCTGAAAAATTTTTTTTATGAAGCTAGATTAAAATTTTGAAAAATTTTAAAAATTATTTTAATTACTTACATGTATAAATAAGTCGTTTGCACTGACTCATGTAAGTAACTTTTAAAACATTCGCGACCCGTTCTCGGGGGGGGGGGGGAGGGAGGGGGCCTCGGTACGCCACTGATATATGTATATACAAAGGGTGTCCGTAGTATGCAAACACTGTTTGATCGTTAATATCTCTTTTCCCAAGAAGTCTTTTGCCTTGCTTCAGGTACCATTTTGTAGAGCTGGCTTCAACTTAGATTTGCTGTATGCAGTGAATCACCCATGTCTCTTCAATTCTGTAGATTACGGTAGAAAGTTGAAACATATGGAGTCAATGTGGAAAAAGCTGCCGTTTCAAAAATTTTCAAAAAGATGTGAAAATTTGTGTAATAGGGTTTTTATGGACGCTGAGTTCAATACTCAACTATTCACAAGATTGCGAAGCTTTCTAAACGGTGCAACCGCACTTTTTAGGACCATTGAAAAAATGGCCGCTTCTTACCTGGCATAACTCTTCAATGAAGCATCATAGTAAATTGGGAACTTTACAATTAAAATCAGCAACTCTAATTAGCCCACTGTAAAAGTTTTCAGGCTGTTTTGTTTTCTTTCTGAGGCATAATATGGCTTTCATGGCTCAAAACGCTCTTCAAAACTTCCACCGTAATCCTACAGTTATGAAGAGAGATGGGTAATTTGCTCCTACTGAGATCTAAGTTGAAGCCAGCTCTACAAAATGGTACCTGAAGCGAGGCAAAAGACTTCTTGGGAAAAGAGATATTAGCGATCAAACATTGTACACATACTTTACGGACACCCTGTATATATACCATGCTACTAGATCAGAACAACTGATCTAGATAGGGCGACGCACGCTGCGTCCTGCGGCGTAGTATGAAAAAAGTTCTAGGTATACTGCGGCGTACGCAGCGCACGCAGCAGGCTGCCGCGTCCAGCGGCTAGTATGCGTAAAACATCTGTAACGCACGCGCGCGAGGGCTTCGCGGCGCGGGTTAAATTGCGCAGCCCGGGTCCCGACCGCGCTAACTGCCCATTGCAAGTTGCCTAAAATTTATCGATTGCCTACGCCCCATCCATCGTATTTTACTATTTTTCGTTTTTTTATTTACTTCGTTCAATTTCTGTTTTTCATCGTCCTCACAAGTACTTGTTCGGTGCCTACAAGTTACTGTTTTTGGCTCGCCGTTTTAGTTAGTTTCGTGCTTGCTTCGCATCATTATTACACTCTTGCATTTGCGGGCTTTCGAGTGCGACCAAAGACCGGAGTGGATGGACGGTAAGTGTGAATTTTTTTGTGTTGATTGAACATTGCTGTCATCCTTCATTTTATTCTTAAATTTCTTGGCGATATGTTGTTGATGCTCATGTTGTCTACCATATATTTATTGCTCCTTTTTTAGATGCAGGTTTCAGTCTTGCAAGTTTCAATTCTGAAAAGTGATCGATGATCTCGGTGAGTGTGCATATTTTGTACAGATCAGATAACTTTTTTCTAGAGTGCGGAGTTTTCTTATTTTTATAAGTTCATTACTGCTTTTCTAGATGTTCCACTCTACGACAACGACTACAATAGTGAAGCATAAACTCTTGTGCTTGCCGGGGTTTATTTAGGTAGATGTTAGTTTTTTTATTGACCGCACACATTTTGTTTTCACTTATCTTTCTTGGTTTTTTGAAATTTTTTTGCAGTGTAATTTATTTGATTAGTGTTTATGTAATTTTTCTTGTTTGGATGGTTGATTGATGTTGCTTATTTTGTTTACATAAACTTCTTGTGGACTTGTGAGTACAGACAGTCGCCATCTATGCGATAGCAATACCAAATAAACATCTCGAAAATATCACCGGAAAGGGGGAAAACAACATCAACACATTTCAACGTCAACTATTTTGCAGTGAGGCAAAGTTATCCAAGTAATATTACTTATTAGTTTTTTATTAATTTTCTTAGTAAATATTAGTTTTGTTTTACTTGTTACAAACTTTGCCACTCGCTCATTTGCCATACGCTTCTAATCTTTTCTAGCCTTCGGATGCTCCTCTTTCTGAACTTTCTTGCATCACGGGGTCTCTGCAACACTTTAGCTGAATTGCTGCGTGCGCCAAATTGAACTGTGACTAACTCGCTCCAAATTTGAGAGATGGTCTTTTTCGTTGTTGTTACAGCTTTTCAACTTCCGCAGAAACTTGGCCGTGGTTGGGTACTTGCAGCGAAGTAGGGTTCCAAGCATTCGAAACAGTATGACGTACAAGTTAATGACCGTTCTGATGTTGATGATGTTACCGATGGAAAGCTTCAGCTGCATTTGTTGTAGCGTGTCCGATATATTCCACTTATGCCACATATCCTTGAAGGGGCCTTCATACCAGTTAGTCTTCAAGCATGGCAGGACCCAGCGCTTATCATAGGCTTCGGGATTTATTGGGAGGTCGGATCGGTGCAGTGAAGGAACTCTTCTAAATATGTAGGTGGAAGGGAGGAACATTAACCCTTTCACAATATTTCACCATCCGCTTGAAGATCCACATGTTTTCCGCGCAGAACCTTCCCAACTCTAGTGCCTCCTTTTTCCTGTTCCGAGCAATTCCAAGGATGCACTAGGAAAGACCTTACGTGCGGCGTTGATGGAAGCTTTTTCAAAGTCGAGCACAATTCTCAGGTTGGTGGTAACCTCGGCTCTCCCTAGCTCCTCCTTCAGATGTCGAAATATCAGCTCGTATGTGGAGGTTTTTCATAGTTGTAATGGCACACAAGAGTGGCACATCTCGAGTGTTACTGCAGATGCCATGCATGGTGTAGAGTTGCCCGGTTTTGTAAGTAGCGTGGGGCTATAGCTCGTGTACGCTGTCAGCAATTAACCCCCTGACGCTGTGCCATCTGGAAGACGTCCATCTGCGTGACAATAGTAAACAACGTACTTCAATTGTGTCCACTGCATAGTATAATATATGTAAAGGTCGCGGCTCTGATATTGCAAGAATCTGGAGCCATTGGGAAGCGTTATGTATTCTTGGGACATATTCCATGGGCAGCTTGGATCTTCCGTTGCTATTGTCCTAAGACACTAGTTTTGAATGCATACATAGTGTTCAAATTTAAACAAACCTTATTGTCCTTCGTCGGGACAAAAATCCTTCCCCGTGGTAATACTATAGCGTGTCGCTCTTCTCATTTTCATCTAAAACAGAATTAATTATTTAATATCTGTATCCAAACAATGCAGAAAATACCTTCGCCCTCATGCTCCAAAGTGGTCTTCGACACTCTGCCATGCGACATGCGTGCTTAATTCAACTCTCTTTTTTTCCTCGAATTCCTGTAGTGTAATATGCTCTCAAAATTGTGCACACCTGGTAGTCTACCTACCTTATAGACTAGTCTTCCAACTTTATCCTCAACAATCTTCGCCGGTATGCACGAATGTGGAAGGCTGAGTGGATCGCCGAGAAAATCGTTGTCAATAACCTGGACAATACCTGGATTTGATAAGCATGTAAATTTCTTCCAATGCTTACCGCTGTCATAGTGTTTTTGCTGGCAACAGCTAGCCGACATCCAGTGCGTCCATAGACCTGGCATGTTACATTAGTTCTCAGATGTTCAAATGTGTAGCACAGTGGGCCTCCTGTCAATAAGGGATATTAGGTTTCTTTCTCCTCCGCACCTTATCTGTCCTACCTGGAATCGTATATCGCTCTGTGTGTTTGCTACGTTGACTCAGCTCAACGGTCGCAGGGAATCGTAGAGCGTTCAGATCATATCGACAACGATGCCTTTGAGCAGGACGTGGTGCGGCAACGGAGGAATCTTGCGCAGCAGTCAAGGGCTCTTGAGCACCTAAAAAAGTTTTTTTTATGCCATTGAACAGGTGAGAGAAAAACCCACCATTGTGACTTTTAGTTACCAGCTGCTGAGTATGTGCTGATTTAATGATTCATTCTAGAAGATTTTGGGTAATCTTTGATTTTATGATCAAAAAAGATACCTCCTATCACTCCGACACCACAATGATCTTGCTAAGGTTTCAGAGATAGCGCGAGCAGTAAAAATAAAGTTGGAAATACGCAAACTTGTGTCAGCAGTACGGCACCATAGTGCCTCGAATGTTGAGTAGGTTTGAATAGATTATAGGTCGCTGGAATGCAGTTGAATACAGTGCAGTTGATACACATACAATTCACCGGAACTTCCGCAGGACATGCAGAACTTGCAGCGTTTCCGCAGCACTTTCTTAACCATCGAGAAAGTGCACGCTCCAAAATGCGAGGTTTCCACAGGAAATTGACGTCATAGCGATCGTAAACCGGAACCTCCGCAGCACTTTCCAAAAAGCGCTGCGAAAGTGCAATGAGGCTCGTAAGGTTTCCGCAGCACTTTGACCTGCCAGCATTTCCGCAGGATTTTGAGAGCGCATGCATTCGCGATTGCGAAATAGCGAACGCAACATCAACAGCGCATAGCGCACTCTTTTCTTCCATACTGTTCCGCTTCCTCCTCTTTTCTTTCTCTTTTTTCTTTCTTTCTTCAATTTGGCGTAAGTAAACCTGTACTCATATATATTCTAAGTATTCTTGCAGGCATCGGTGCAGGTGTGTGAACAACCATCACCAAGCTGCTAGAGTGCTGGAAAAGGACTCAACGGAGGGACTTCATTCAAGCCCAACGCCCTTGTTCAGGTATGTCGAACTTCTGTACTCTATATGCTTGGATTTAAATAATAGAGCAAGTAATTTAGAACTATTACTTTGTAGAAAATATGCACTGGACCTAAATAAAGTAGAAGTGATTGGGTGGAAATATATCAAAACAAAAGGGGGGGAGGGGAAGTCACCGAAATTTTCAAAGTGATCTACAAGCTCTTGATAAATCCTGAAATACTTTTAAATTCAAAGTATTAAGTGGGACCAAAAGGTACGTTTGCCAGTTTTTCAAAAAATCATAACTTCCTTTCGACTCGATGGATCTCTTTGCGTGTTGCCCGAAAACCAAGTAATTGCCCGAAAACGTCACAAAAAAGACGGGAAAGTCATGTGAACATGGGTTTAGTGACCTTCTCTTTTTTAATTGAGAGAAATTAGTGCCTATCAAGAGCTTTTGATTTTCGTAATATTACCAAGTTTTCGGATCTGATTTTCTACGAATCAAGATTTCTTTCGATTGGCACGAATTTCTCTCAGCCAGAAGGAGGTCACAAAACCCATGTTGAGACTGTCCCGTCTTTTCGACGTTTCGTGACGTTTCTGGGCATTTTTGAGCATGCTCAAAAATTGCAAAAATTGAAGTAATTCTTTTTATTTGCTTCTAATTCTCAATCTTTTTTGTTTTTGGAAAAGGCACTATAGTAAAGAACATAATTTTTTCTATCGAAAAATACTTCTAGAATTTTTTTGGTTATCCTGCTCGAGAAATGCCAATTTTGATTAATCTTCTTAAATTGCTTCTAACTATCGAACTTTTTTATGCCAATTCATGGCAAAAGTACTGCTGTAAAGAGAATGATTTCCCCTCTTAGATAAATAAAACACAAAGAGATTCATCGAGTCGAAAGGAATAATGACTTTTTAAAGAGCTGGCGAACGTACTTTTGGTCCCACCTAATAATTGTGAAAAATTTTCGAAGGAGCTACGCTAAAAATCGAGGTGGTACAAAAATTGTTACCGCTAAAGTTCAACCATTCCTGAATTTTTTTTCGCTGAAAGTGGCCACACGCCCACGAACCCAAAAGTTTCAATCCCCCCCTCCCATCCCTTGAATAAATATCTCGCGCCGCCACTGCTTTTCGTGTTTCTATCCTTTTCTACTCCTTTTTGCTTTTGATTTTCAAATCTTTTCCCTCTCACAATACCGCACATATCACAAAATAATAATTTTTGATTTAAAAATAAAGGATTCAAAACCTATGATTTGAAATAATAGTTCGATAAATTCGAAACTAAATTTTCAAAAAATAGCGTTGAATGATCAAATTAAGTAGAAAATGATGCAGTAAAAATATATCAAAAGAAAGGGGCGGGGCATAACGGGTCTCAAGAATATTCATAGTAGTCTGCGACTGTAGATAATGAAAGATCAGAGCTCTTCTAAACTCAAAAGTAGTTTTTCTAGGCAATTTTCGAAGGTATGGCTCACTCCACACCCCTTTTTGCTAAAAAAAAATCGAGTGCGTACAAAAACTAGAACCACGAAAATTCAATCATTCCTAAATTTCCCTTTGTTCGGTGGCTCACGCCCACAAACCCAAATTTTTGCCCCCCCCCCTTGAAAAAGTTTCTTGCACCGCCACTGCTTTAATGTATCTATCCTTCTCTACTCCTCTGTTTTTGCTGTTTTAAATGCTTTTCTCTCTCCCAAATACTTCCTACATCTTCAACGGATCCGCGCATGTTTATTTGCGAATTCATGTTTCCAATAGTACCTACGTGAAGCAAGCTCTAGAGATAGAAGTCGGAGAAGAAAAATACTCCATTCTCAAAATTTCTGCGTTTGGTCGCAAAACTGAAACTCGCAACGGAAATCGGAGCATTTTAGGTTTTAGATCCTGATTTTTCTGAATGTGCCAAGTTTGCGCTGATATGAAAAGTTATGATTTTCGAAGCAAATGCCAAAAAATCATATTTGCTCTTTTTTACGGTTTCCTCAAAAACCATAATTTTTCAAGAGACGTTCAATCAGCGCAATCTTTGTACAGTGAAAAAGAGTGGATAATAATAGCTATGATACGATTGCTCCAATTTTCTGCAAGCAGATTTTTGCGACCAAATATGGGGAATATTAGAATGGAGTAATTGTCTTCACCGACTTCGATCTCTGGAGCTATCAAAAAGTGCCTCAGGTACCATTAGAAAGAGCATGTCTTTTTTCAAAATAAACATGTTCAGATCGGATGTAAATAAGGAAGTTTCGAATTTTTGAAAAGGATGGGGACGAGCTTTTGGTTCGTTAGTATTATTTTCTAAGTAATATTTTATGAAAACTCAACAATAATTTCTAGTAACTTTCACTTACACATACCTGCTTTAGAGTCTGACACATACCTGTTTTTTGTGGAATGCTGGAATATAGAATGAACAAAAATTCTGTTGCTCGAAATTTGAAAATCCCAAAAAAAATTCAAGTTGAAGTAAAGTTGACTTTTGCAGAAAACTCTTGTAGTTTTCAAATCTGTTTCAGAGCTTAATTGTTGAGATTTCGAAATTTCCCAGAATCTTATATATAAAGCTGAATGTCTGTTTGTCTGTATGTCTGTCTGTATGTCTGTCTGTCTGTCTGTGTGTACGTATGTTCCGAATAGAAAATTCCATTTCTGAACCGATCCGGACCAAACTTGGCACACATACACTACGGGCCCCGGCGGGTGTCATAGGCTACTTTTCGTCATCGATCGATATCGATTTTATCGATTTTTATCGATTTTTTTGCTGAGTTCACCTACGGGGCTGGGAGTTGGCACAGGGGGGTAATCGAGCATGGGGATTCCGAATACAATATTGGTTTTCAGGATTATCGATTACTTTTATCGATTTTATCGATTTTTTTGCAAAGTTTGAGCTACGGGGCTGGGAGTTCGCACAGGGGGGTAATCGAGCATGGGGATTCCGAATACAATATTGGTTTTCAGGATTATCGATTACTTTTATCGATTTTATCGATTTTTTTGCAAAGTTTGAGCTAGGGGGCTGGGAGTTGGCACAGGGGGGTAATCGAGCATGCTGATCATCCCCAAGGGGGGTGATCAGCATGCTCGAACACCCCTGTGCCAAATTCCAGCCCCCTAGCTCAAATTTTCAAAAAATCGATAAAATCGATAAAAGTAATGGACGATCTTGAAAACTAATATTGTATTCGTAATCTGCATGCTCGATTACCCTCTGTGCAAACTCCCAGCCCCGCAGGTCAAACTTTGCAAAAAAATCGATAAAATCGATAAAAGTAATGGACGATCCTGAAAACTAATATTGTATTCGGAATCCCCATGCTCACTTCCCCCTGTGCCAACTCCTAGCCCTGTAGGTGAACTCTGCCAAAAAATCGATAAAATCAATAAAAGCAATCGATAATTCTGAAAACTAATATTGTATTCGGAATCCCCATGCTCACTTCCCCCTGTGCCAACTCCTAGCCCTGTAGGTGAACTCTGCCAAAAAATCGATAAAATCAATAAAAGCAATCGATAATTCTGAAAACTAATATTGTATTCGGAATCCCCATGCTCACTTCCCCCCCTTTGCCAACTCCTAGCCCTGTAGGTGAACTCTGCAAAAAAAATCGATAAAAATCGGTAAAATCGACATCGATCGATAACGAAAAGTGGACTGTGACACCCGCCGGGGCCCGAAGTGTATGTGTGCCAAGTTTGGTCCGGATACGGCGGAGCCGGGTAAGCCAGCTAGTTTTAAATAAATCGTCCAAACTTGCTCCGTATCTCTTGGCGAAGAAGTTGCAAAATGGAAGACTTGCGGCAAGGCACGATATACATCAAGAAATTTCAATTAATTCTCATTACAGAAAAGAAGGGAGGCCGAAGCCGACTTTAGTCGCGCGAACAAGGTCAATATGACACTCGATAAATGAAAACGGTTTATTTCCCCACAGGACCGTCTTCCCTTTAAAGCGCATATTATCCTTTGTGAATGAGACTGTTATTCTTGTTTTATTTTATTTTTCCATTATTCTTTACTCTTCCATCAGAATAACATTGCTTTTTGGTTCCTAAAATTTGCCGGTTTTTTCAAACCTTATTCACTTATGCATACATACTCAAATGCTTCTGTGATTTTATGTAGACTTATTTATGAACACTCCACTGGCATGTTAGTTTGCAATTATCAACTTCGGCCTATTGTAATTCTATATGGTACCTGCATAAAACAATACACTGTGCCTGCTT